GGTTATAATAGCATTTATCTTGTATTTGTCTTGTAAATCTGAGAAAATTTCTGCTGTAGGTTGTACTAAGTAAATAAAATGATTGAGGCCAGCACTGTGGCATGGCAGGTAAAGCTGCCGCCTGTGATTCCAGCATCCCATTTGGACACCAGTTCATGTCCCAGCTGTTCCACTTCTGATCTAACTCCCTGCTAATGTGCATTGGAATGCAGCAGAGGATGACCCAAGTGCTTGGCCTTCACCACCCACATGGGAGACCTTGATGAAGCTCCTAGCTCCTGGCTTTAATGTGGCCCAGTTTCCACCATTGTGGTCATTTGGTGAGTGTACTAGTAGAAGATCTCTCTATCCCTTCTCTCCCTCTCTCTCTGTAACTCTGACTTTCAAATAAATAAATAAATAAATGCATACATATTTAATAAAATAAAATAAAATAAAATTATTCTTGTTCTGATAGATAAGACATTGTAGAGAGTGATACAGATAACTATACTGTAGGGAAATAAAGAATTTGCTTTAGTGTTGAAAACATTTTGAAAAACCCCAGAGTATTTCAAAAATCACTTCTATTCCTTTTTTTATTTTTATTTTTATTTTTGACAGGCAGAGTGGACAGTGAGAGAGAGACAGAGAGAAAGGTCTTCCTTTTGCCGTTGGTTCACCCTCCAATGGCCGCCGTGGCCGGCACGCTGCGCTGATCCGAAGGCAGGAGCCAGGTGCTTCTCCTGGTCTCCCATGGGGTGCAGGGCCCAAGGACTTGGGCCATTCTCCACTGCACTCCCTGGCCACAGCAGAGAGCTGGCCTGGAAGAGGGGCAACCGGGACAGAATCTGGCGCCCCGACAGGGACTAGAACCTGGTGGGCCGGTGCTGCAAGGCGGAGGATTAGCCTATTGAGCCACGGCGCCGGCCCACTTCTATTCCTACAACAAGGTTGACCATTTTATACAGAGTTGTTGAAAAATATTTCATACAAACTTGCTGTGGTTTGGTTGTTAGTTTTGGTGCTCCCCATGTGGTAAAGGCTTGGTCCTCAAAGCCTTAGGTTAATGGTCAACAGATTATTATTAATGGACAATGGGTTAATGGTGGAAACTTAATCCAATTACAGTATCTGAAAATGGGGTCTCTGGAAAGTTATTAGATTAGATAATGTTGGGGTGACCCCCTTGATCAAATTATGGAGATTTTGTAGAAGAGATCATTTGAGTGGTGCCAATGAGTCTTCTCTCCAAGTGATCTTTCCTCCACACAAGCCCTTCCTTTGCCTTCCTCCAGCCTCACCAGAGGTTCTAACCAATGGGGTACACCTGATGGTGGACTGTGACCCTCCAAAATCAGGAGCCAAAATACAGCACCACACTTCAACAATAAATTGCCTTAAGGATTTAGTTGCAGTAACAAAAAATTGTTGAATAAAATATTAAAGATTTGAAAAACTTTCCCCAAATGATACCATTCCTGTTTTTACATTTTGTGACTTTTGGTGATGAGGATAAGACTGGCTCTGTTTTCCCTGATGTGAGGTTGCCATCTTCCAAAATGTGCACATGTATGATTTTACTCATTTTCCTTTCCAGAAAGACAGCATGTGTGGGTAATTTCTGTTTTCACAGTAAACTGGAAAAGAAGTGTGCTTGTAAGGTCTTGAGAGTGAAGTAAGTGATTTTGTCTGGGAATGAAGCTTATCTACAATCCAGACAAGGATCCCTATTTCCTTGTGCTCAATATTTTCATACAAAACCATAAAATGTCAAAGTCTCTTAGGAAAGAAACATAATAAGTCTTTGTTTGCTGCTGAAGCAACTCTTCAGGGACTTAGATCAATCAAAGGGATGCCTCTGGGCCATGCTTTCTGGCAGGAAATCTTTGAAGGTATTGTTTTTAGAAGCTATAAATCTACTGTGTGTTTGCTGGCTGTCCAGACTGGCTTTAATCACTTACCAAATAGAATCATTTGTAAGACCAAGGGACAGACAGACATTTCTAAAAAGGACATCTTTCTCTCAAATCTTACCTTCATCTCTTACAGATCTCACCAGGAAATGACATGAGACTTAGTCTCTCTGTAAATCAAATATATCTAACTGCAATCTGAGACCAGGGAATTAAGAATCAATAAAGTACTAAGATATGAAGCCTTCTGGAAGATACAAGACTATCTACAAGCCAGAATCAGCAGTAAGAAAAGCAAATAATACAGCATAGGGCCCAGAATGATATACTTTACATTAACAAGGGAGAAATATTTCCAAATCCTGCTTTTAGACTGGAAGACATGAGGTTCTCATTAGCCCTAAGGGGGTGGGGGCAAGTGAGGAAAGCCAGACAGATGTGCTTTGAGAGGCAAACTTAACAACTGAGAGTGGCAGCCTTGTCTAGAAGTTTTCACAATTCCAAAACATACTTCTTATTTCAATTTGCGAATGTCTTGGAAGCAACCACCTGGATGTTACCTTTCCTCTGATGGATGCAAGCCTGGAAAATCCTCATTCTCTTCCAAACAAGACAACATGAAATGCCTTGGGTATCCTTCCATGAAATTGTCTCCTAATTAATTACAAGCAGGAATTGAGTATAATTGAATCACAAAAGATGAATAGAATGAACAATACACATTGTTCAAAATTGATAATTTTGTGAAGAAAGAGTGATTACAAGACTAAGTCATTTTATAATGATTTAGCATAAAGCAGTTAGCTGACCGGAATGATTCAGAATCAACTGAGGATTATTACAAAATTGTATGTGGGGCCAAGGTAGTGGCTCAGTGGCTAAGCTGCTGACTATGACACTAGCATCCTATAGTACAGCACCAGTTTGAGTCCAGGCTTATTTGCTTCCAATCCAGCTACCTGCTAATTTGCCTGGGAAAGCGCTAAAGTCTGACCCCGTTGTTGGGGCATCTGCTATCCTTGTGGGAGACCCAGATGCAGTTCCAGACTCATGCATGCAGCCTGACCCAGCCCTGACCATTTGGTCATTTAAGTGAGCCAGAAGATGACAGATGTCTCTCTCTCTTTCTGCCTTCCAAACAAACAAATAACTCTTTTTTTTAAAAAAAGAAGAAAATATGCTCATGCAGGGAAGTGAAAAAATATGATAGGATACTTTTTAAAAAAAATTGTAAAAAGTAGAGCTGAAGAAAATTGTGTTTGCTTAGGACTCAGTTACATAATTATTAGCAACTCTTGTTTTAACCTAGTTTCCTTGTTAACCCTCATTCTCAATATTCCTATTGAGAACATTTTCTATGGTCAAAGAGAAGATTATTGGGAAAATATCCATATTGGCTTTCCTGAGAGTATAGGTGAAGTGAGACATTTCATCTCTAAATTCTAAGTTATTTAAGATAACTTCTAAGGTCCTTGAGGTAAAAGGTTAAGTTTGTCTCATAATTCTATTCAGAATTCCTTATCTACTATGGATTTGGTAAATATTTGTGAAATTAAATTGATTTTTCAACTCTCTTAGTAACTTCCTGAAAATGTCGATTTTCCGTTTTCTTATTAACTACCCAGAAATGTTGATTTCTTCCTATAATAAAATGTTTAGATGAGCTTGATGGCTGGATGGTATGAAATGAAAGACAGCAAGCAAATATCTTTGAAAATGAAAAAAAAATGTTTATTTGAAAAACATAGAGATAAAGAGAGAGGGAGAGAGGGAGAGAGAGAGAGAAAGAGAGAAAGAGAACTTCCATGATTAATTCATTCCCCAAATGGCTGCAATGGCCAAGGCTGGCCAGGTTGAAGCCAGGAGACTGGAACTCCAAACAGGTCTCTTGCATGGGTGGCAAAGGTCAAAGTACTTGAGGTATCTTCCTCTGTTTTCCCAGGTGCACTAGCAGGAAGTGGGATGGAAAGTGGAGCAGCCAGTTACAAAACGGGATGCAGACATCCCAGAGGGCAACTTCACTGGCTGCACCGCGATACCTATCTCAAGCAAGACCCTTTGATCCATGTTAACTCTTCCCTTTCCCCATTATCTTTCCTTGCAGCATTGAGACTTATTTTTTTTTAAAAAATATGTATGTATGTATGTATGCATTTGAGAGCCAGTTACAGAGAGAGGGAGAAACAAAGAGAACTATCTTCTTGTTCACTCCTCAAATGGTTGCAACGACCTGAACTGAGCCTATCTGAAGTCTGAAGTTAGAAACTTCTGGGTCTCCCACATTGGGCTATCTTTCAATGCTTTCCCAGGTCACTAGCAAGGAGCTGGGTTAGAAGTGGAGCTCCTAGGACTCCAAGTGGTGCCTATATGGGATGCCAGCACTGAAGGCGGAGGCTGAACCTACTGTGCCCTGAGACTTATTCTTAAAACCTTAGGCATGTTCTCCGTAATTATGACTTTGATTCCCATCATGATGAAAATTGGTTGAAACGGAAATAATACTATTAAATATTGCCATAAATAAGGGATTTTTCCCTTTAATTTATACAAAAATACTCCTGGGTTGAATCCATCAGTTTTCTTACTCTCAAAGTGTTCATCTAAAGATCATGGCATTAATAAAATAAAATAAAATTCTGTGATCCTGACATGGTAGTTTCTGCTAAATTATTCTGCAAAATCAAACTTTCATGGCTCTGACAAAGAGTGTCTGAGGATGGGCCACTCACAACTTGGAGTGGTGTATGAATACAGCTAGACTGGGCCGATAATATAGTGGCAATATGGCTTCTGTCTTTGATGTCTGTGCTGAGCCTCTAGACCAAATGCTTAGCTACTACTCTTGTAGCCTTACAGCAAGTGCTTCATTCTGCTATTTCTTATGAATTCCATTCAGTTGTATTTTACCCTCAGCTGCTTTCATACCAGTTTGTTCCACTAGATTTTAGGTTTTGAAGAAGTATCACTTTTGATCACTTTATTGTTCTTACCAATTTGTCTTTATCTCAAATTTTTCTTTTATCTGGCTTTTCAGAAAAGGACATTTTATTAATAAATAACTCATAATCTTTTTTAAAAGATGTATTTATTTATTTGAGAGGCAGGTTTATTGACAGAGAGAAGGAGAGACAGAGTGAAAAGTCTTCTGTCCACTGGTTCACTTCCCTAATGGATGCAGCAGCAGGAGTGAGGATGATCCGAAGCCAGGTGCCAGGAGTTTCTTCCGAGTCTCCCACATGGGTGCAGGGCCCAAAGACTTGGGCCATCTTCTACTGCTTTCCCAGGCTGTGAGCAGAGAGCGGAATCAGAAGGGGAGCAGCTGGGGCTTGAACTGGCACCATAATGAGATGCTGGTGCTGCAGGTAGAGGCTTAGCCTATTATGCCAAAGTGCTGACCCTTAACTCAAAATCTTAATGCTAATACAAGAGACATAATATGAAGAGAAGTCATTACATAAATAATTTCATGATCATTTTAAGCTAATGACCTGCGAAATGGGATGCAACCCAGGAGCTATCTGAAAATATGCAAATCATTAAGTTGAAGAAAGAAAATAATAGAAGCTCTATTATACTTGTTTTTAATGTCAGTCTTTATGCTTTACACAAGATGTACTCCATGTCTTCAAGTGTGAATCAACCTAGTGTGGTTCTTTCAAAGAACTTAACCCCCAGTAACTGGAGAGAAATAATACATTTATAAAAAGTCATATTTCATAGAAAGTTATATAAGTACATACTCAGCTTATACCCTATATTTAATATTATAAATCTTTCCAACTTCTCACTTTCACTGGGTTTTGTTTGGTTCTTTTTTTGTAGAACAGGGAAGGAGGCAAGATGGCGGAATAGGAAGGGAGCACACTGATAGTCCGGGGAGAGACAGTTTAATAAAAGTGGAGATACTGCAGGTTCAAGGAAGAGTAGGGGAGGAAACAGCAGAAGAAACTCTTCCGGAACGTTTGATTCACAGTGGACTTGCGTGGAGAGCATGGGAGCCCACAGTTCGGGACACCAGCGGCAGACTCAACACACCAGCGCTGGAACGCGAGGTGAGCCGAACCTCAATAGCCAGAGACACCGGCAGGCAAGCGGAGAGAGGAGACTAGAGGGAATGACCCCCCCCGGGGGGGGGGGGAAGTTCACCAGGCTAACTGGAAGAGAGAGAGAGAGAAAAAAAAAGGTGACTGGTACGGACACGGGTTTCTCTCTCTCCGCTCACCTCTCAAGGGCAAGCAAGACAAAGAGCAGGCGCCATCTTGGACATACGTCATAAGCAGAGCGACCTCAAGTCTGCACCGGCCCTGAGCCTGGCAGAAAAACCTGACTCTGGGCAGGCGAATTAACAGGAGATTAGGGCCTAGTAAATTTGTGGTGCTACTGAACTGAGACTGTGAAAAAAGAGATGGTGGGGGAGAGAACTCATGGAATTCATGTGAGTACTCTCCAGAGACGCTACAATTCCGTAACTTTGGCAACCCAGTGGGAGACTGAAGGAGAATTTGAGCCCACTCTGAGGGCCGAACAGATTCCCTGTGTGGTCCTTGGGAAAGAGCTTCTGATCTCTGGCTCCTGTGGGTATATCATTTGCCTGCTAACTACCTCCAACTTCATTCAGCTGTGCGGAATTACTTCCCTTTTGAATCAAAAAAAGAAAGAAAGAGAGAGAGAGATCTACCACACCTAACCTGGAAGTGTCACCTTTGGCACACCAAACAGAGCTCTCAGGCCAAACCCATCTCAAGCCTCTAAGGCTCCATCAAAAACAGACAGTCCACTTAATCTAGAGTCATAGTATAACAAGAAAAAGCACCACAGTGAAGAAACCAAATATCTCCAATATGCCAAATAACAAATGCAAAAACCGAGGCAATAAAAACAAGGAAGTCACCATGACGCCCCCAAATGGAAAAGATACCCCAATTCAAGATTATGAAGATGATGACATAGAAGAAATGCAAGAAGCAGATCTCAAAAAATTGATAAGAACATTAAGAAGTTCTCAAAAACAAATTCTTGAACTACAGAAATCCTTAATGGACAAGATAGAAAATCTCTCTCGTGAAAATGAAATATTAAGGAGGAATCAAAATGAAACGAAACAACTAGTACAACAGGAAACTGGGATAGTGACGAGAAATCATAATGAAGTGAAGAATTCAATAGATCAAATGAAAAACACAATAGAGAGCCTTACAAACAGAATGGGTGAAGCAGAAGAGAGAATATCGGACTTAGAAGACAGAGAACGGGAAAGGATACAGTCAGACCAAGGAAAAGAAGAAGAAATTAGAAATCTAAAACATATTGTCAGGAATCTTCAGGATACTATTAAAAAACCCAACATTCGGGTTCAAAGAGTTCCTGAAGGCATGGAGAGGGAGAAAGGATTAGAAGGCCTTTTTAGTGAGATATTAGCAGAAAATTTCCCAGGTTTGGAGAAGGACAGAGAAATCCTAGTACAGGAAGCTCACAGAACCCCTAATAAACACGACCAAAAGATAGCCTTACCATGACACGTTGTAATTAAACTCTCCACAGTGAAACATAAAGAAAAGATCCTAAAATGTGCAAGAGAGAAACGTCAAATTACTCTCAGAGGATCTCCAATCAGACTCACAGCTGACTTCTCATCATAAACCCTACAAGCTAGGAGGGAATGGCGAGATATAGCCCAGGTACTAAGAGAGAACAACTGCCAGCCCAGAATATTATATCCTGCAAAGCTATCATTTGTGAATGAAGGTGAAATAAAGACTTTTCATAGCAAACAGAAATTGAAAGAATTTGTTGCCACTCGTCCAGCCCTGCAAAAGATGCTTAAAGATGTGTTACACACAGAAACACAGAAACACGGTCATCAATATGAAAGAAGGTAAAGGAAGGAAACCTCACAGCAAAAGATCAGAGGGAATTCAAAGCATATATTAGAACTTATCTTTGGCAAATGGCAGGGCAAAGTTACCACTTATCATTAGTCACATTGAACGTGAATGGCCTGAATTGTCCAATTAAAAGACACCGATTGGCTGATTGGGTTAAGGAACAAAACCCATCTATTTGCTTACAAGAAACACATCTTTCCAACAAAGATCCATACAGACTGAAAGTGAAAGGCTGGAAAAAGATATACCATGCCAACAGAAATGAAAAAAGAGCGGGTGTAGCCATCTTAATATCAGACAACATAAACTTTACCACAAAAACTGTTAAGAGAGACAAAGAGGGACACTACATAATGATTAAGGGATCAATGATTAAGGGATCAATACAACAAGAATATATAACAATTATCAATGTATATGCACCTAACTACAGGGCACTGGTTTATCTAAAAGATTTGTTAAGGGACTTAAAGGGAGACTTAGACCCCAATACAATAGTACTGGGGGACTTCAATACTCCACTCTCAGAAATAGACAGATAAATAGGACAGAAGATCAACAAGGATACAGTAGATTTAAACGACACTATAGCCCAAATGGATCTAACAGATATATACAGAACTTTCAATCCTACAGCTAAAGATTTTACATTCTTCTCAGCAGTACATGGAACCTTCTCTAGGATTGACCACATACTAGGCCATAAAGCAAGTCTCAGCAAATTCAAAAGAATTAGAATCATACCATGCAGCTTCTCAGACCATAAAGGAATGAAGTTGGAAATTAGCAACTCAGGAATCCCTAGAGCATACACAAACACGTGGAGATTGAACAACATGCTCCTGAATGAACAATGGGTCACAGAAGAAATTAAAAGAGAAATCAAAAATTTTCTGGAAGTAAATGAGGATAACAGCACAACATACCAAAACTTATGGGACGCAGCAAAAGCAGTGTTAAGAGGAAAGTTTATATCAATAGGTGCCTACATCAAGAAATTGGAAAGGCACCAAATAGATGAGCTTTCAATTCACCTCAAGGATCTAGAAAACCTACAGCAAACCAGACCCAAATCTAGTAGGAGAAGAGAAATAATTAAAATCAGAGAAGAAATCAACAGGATTGAATCCAAAAAAACATTACAAAAAATCAGCCAAACGAGGAGCTGGTTTTTTGAAAAAATAAACAAAATTGACACCCCATTGGCCCAACTAACTAAAAAAAAGAAGAGAAAAGACCCAAATCAATAAAATCAGAGATGAAAAAGGAAACATAACAGCAGACACCACAGAAATAAAAAAGAATCATCAGAAATTACTACAAGGACTTGTATGCCAGCAAACAGGGAGACCTATCAGAAATGGATAGATTCCTGGACACATGCAACCTACCTAAATTGAACCAGGAAGACATCGAAAACCTAAACAGACCCATAACTGAGACAGAAATTGAAACAGTAATAAAGGCCCTCCCAACAAAGAAAAGCCCAGGACCAGATGGATTCACTGCTGAATTCTACCAGACATTTAAAGAAGAACTGACTCCAATTCTTCTCAAACTATTCAGAACAATCGAAAAAGAGGGAGTCCTCCCAAATTCTTTCTATGAAGCCAGCATCACCTTAATTCCTAAGCTGGAAAAAGATACAGCATTGAAAGAGAATTACAGACCAATATCCCTGATGAACATAGATGCAAAAATCCTCAATAAAATTCTTGCCAATAGAATGCAACAACACATCAGAAAGATCATCCACCCAGACCAAGTGGGATTTATCCCTGGTATGCAGGGATGGTTTAATGTGCGCAAAACAATCAATGTGATACACCACATTAACAGACTGCAGAAGAAAAATCATATGATTATCTCAATAGACGCCGAGAAAGCATTTGATAAAATACAACACCCGTTCATGATGAAAACTCTAAGCAAACTGGGTTTGGAAGGAACATTCCTCAATACAATCAAAGCAATCTATGAAAAACCCACAGCCAACATCCTATTGAATGGGGAAAAGTTGGAAGCATTTCCACTGAGATCTAGTACCAGACAGGGATGCCCACTCTCACCACCAGTTCTGGAAGTTCTAGCCAGAGCTATTAGGCAAGAAAAAGAAATTAAAGGGATACAAATTGGGAAGGAAGAACTCATACTAGCCCTCTTTGCAGATGATATGATTCTTTTTTTAGGGGACCCAAAGAACTCTACTAAGAGACTATTGGAACTCAAAGAAGATTTTGGCAAAGTAGCAGGGTATAAAATCAATGCACAAAAATCAACAGCCTTTGTATACACAGACAATGCCATGGCTGAGGAAGAACTTCTAAGATCAATCCCATTCACAATAGCTACAAAAAAAATCAAATACCTTGGAATAAACTGAACCAAGGACATTAAAGATCTCTACGATGAACATCTGTATAGAAAACAAGATAGCATGATATGTGCTATTAATTAAAATGAACATGGGAATAGTACTCAATGGCACTTATCTGGGCACAGATTTCTTGGGTATAAGAAGCAACAAAAACAAAACAAACAAATGGAATTTCAACAAGCTAGAAAGCTTCTGCACAGCAAAGGAAATAGTAGAATAAAAAGAAAACTCACAGATTAACAAAACAATGCTTAAGTTAAAAAAAGAAAGGAAGGAAGGACAGAAAGAAGGAAGAAAGGAAGAGAGGGAGGGAAAAGAGAGAGAGGAAGGAACATATCATTATATTCTTAGAATTATATCTATGAACTATGTTGAATCTGTTCTCTTCCTATTAATACACATGAACATGAAAATTGATGAGAGTTGATGTAGTAATCAGCATGCACTTACTATAAACCTGAGGTTCTAATGTATTAATACATTCCTTAAAAATGCATTTGATCAGGGGCTGATATTCAAGATATGTAAAGAAGTCATACACCTTAATAACAAAAAATAACCAAATTTAAAGACTTATTTATTTACTTATTCATTCATTTGAAAGGGAAAGAGAAAGAGAGAGAGAGAGAGAGAGAGAGATCAATCTTCCATGTTCTGGTTCAATCTCCAAATGCTTGCAGCAGCTGAAGCTGGGTTAGTTCAAATCTGGGAACCAGGAATTATATTAGAGTCTCTCGTGTGGGTGACAGGAACCCAAATACTTGGGCAAGCAATCATTCTGCTGTCTTTCAGGCACAGTAGCAGGAAGCTAGATTAGAAGCAGGGTAGTTGGTATTTAAACCAGGCACTCGGATATGGGATGCAAGTGTTACAAGCAGCAGCTTAACCAGTTATGCCACAATACCCACCACAACCCATTTTTAAAAAGAACCAAAGAGGCAGGGAACCTTTTTAAGTTAATACAGCTTATGAAAAACCATTTGAAGTTTTTGAAAATCTAAAACTAGATGGCATAGCAGGTAAAGCTGCCATCTACCACACCAGCATCCCCTATGGGTGATGTTTGTGTCTTGGCTGCTCCACATCTGATGCAGCTCCCTGCTAATGGCCTGAGAAAAACAACAGAAGATGGCCCAAGTGTCTGGACCTCTGCCACCCACATGGGAGGCCTGGATGATGCTCCTGGCTCCTGGATTTGGTCTGGCCCAGCACTGGCCATTGTGGCCATCTGGACACTGAACCAGTGGGTTGAAGATCTCTCTCTCTCTCTGTAACTCTTTTGAAATACATATGGATATCTTTAAAAAATCTAAAAATAGAATTATTATATGATCCTGTAATTCCACTACTGGGCATATATTGAAAGGAATTGCAGTCTATATATTAAAGGGATATCTAGACTCACATTTGTTTATCCTTTCAGGTTTCTCCAAGGAAAGATTTCCTATTTGAAATTCCAAACCTAACAAGCCTTGTTTTGTGAATATTTTTGAACATGGATAAATTAAGGAAGTGGATTGCTTTCTAAACTTGGATGGTGATTATGTTAAAGGAGGACATAGTGGTAACACAGAAATAAAGAACTCCGAGATGTAGCTCCATTTTTAGAGTTGACAGAGGGGAAAGTTGGAGCACTTAGACTCTAGATACCTGGAGAGCAGATTCTACAGAGTTGACAGTGAGACTGCAAGGAGCAATGGTTCCATCCATATCTGGAACTTCTGAGTGTGCAGTGAAACTGGTTCTGGGAATGACACAAAACAGTGCTGAAGACTGGAACCAAATAATTCTGCCAATTATATCTAACAGAAATCCAGCTGGCAAAGAAGAAACATGACTTACTGAGAACCAGGCCCAACACCACAAGAAGATTATAAAAGATTTTTCTAAGAAACAAACATAGCTTAATAACTGGCACATATTCCAAAAAAAGCAAATATACTCAAGATTCTTAAAAATATGCATACCCTATGAACCTCTATGCATGCCTCTACACTGGGAATTCTTATAAGGAAATGAATTTAGACATCTATGGCCAATCTAACTAAGCTTTTAAAATGCTATTCTACTTGTTAAACTTTCTCCTATACAATGCAAAAATCTTTCCATAATTTGACACTCATTAATGTGCTGAAATCTAATATACAAATACTTGTGATTTTTTAAAAGAATTATTTATTTGGAAGACAGGTTACAGAGAAAGAGAGAAGGAAGGGGTTGGGGGGGGATTTTCCATCCACTGGTTCATTTCCCAAATGGCTACTACAGCCAGAGCTGGGCCAGGCTGAAGCCAGAACACAGGAGGTCCTTTCAGGTCTCCCACATGGGTGGCAGGGGCCTAGTTTCTTAAGCCATCTTCTGCTGCTTTCCCAGGTGCATTAGCAGGGAGCTGGATCAGAAGTGGAACAGTGAACTGGTGCCCATATGGGATGCTGGTGCAGCTGTGGTGGCATAATCCAGTGTGCTGCAGTGCTGGCTCAGGTGTTATTTCTAAATAAAAATCCTAGTGACCACTGCATTTCTGAGAATCTTTAATCTACTATTTTGGGAAGGGTCAGTTATGCTTAAGGCCTTGCTAATGTCATTCCTAACAAATCAAATGCAATAGGATTGATTCTGGTTTCTAGAATCACATTGTTTTTAGCTCTTGTTCATATACCTGTGGAAATGTGATATTTCTACTTTTTACTTGTTTAATAGTATGATTTGTGCCACATTAGGTCTGTGATTATAGACTGGATTGAAAGCTACATTTTGAAAAATTAAAGAAAAAAAAAAGAAAGGGAGGAAGGAGAGAGAGTGTGGGAGGGAGGGGGAGAAAGAGAATTATGGTTATCTTTTTAGACTTGTACCTATGAAATCTGTTCTCTTTATATTAACAAAATTTTAAAATAAAAAAGTCACATTGTGCGGATCAAATCCAATTTTGCTCTACATTCACTGTATTTGAGCAAGTTATAAAAGTGGATTTAGCCTCTTGTTTTCCTGGAAAAATGCACTAGTTCAGAAACACTGCTGGCCGTAGACTAACAAATGTAATGTGGTTAGCACAATACCTGGAAAGTGCCATGTTGTCTATTACTAGTTCTTTCCCCCTGACATATTGGACAAGCATTATTCCTCAGACAGCCATGCACATTTGTAAAAGCTCTTTCCCACTTGGCAAATGTCCGTCTCCACAATTTTGCATAGTTGATGTCTACTCGCTTTTCAACCTCAAGTTCAAGCATTATCTCATTCAGGTAGCCATCCCAGGCATCTGCCCGGGAGAGATGCTGCCTTCCTCTTGATTTCCTTAATGAATTTTGAACAGCAGGTATAACCTTTTAGTGAGTTATTTGAGGAACTACATTCACTAGTTTACTTCTCAGTCTTTTCAATAGATTCAAAGGTCCTCAAAGGCTGGGCATTCCATAACCTATCAATGTCAACCCCATAGGGCCAAGCCCTGGTCATGATACCTATTAAGAACTCAATAAGCACGTGTTTTATACACAAAATACTCTTCCCAAAATTATTGATGACTACAATAAAAAAGAAACAATATATTTATGATATAAAAATAAATGTGTAATATTTAGGAGAAAAAAGTTAATTAAAATAATGGACTAATTTGTGTGGCTATTAGAATTGTTTTACATGCTATGTAATAAAAAGAAAAACATCTGTGGGGCTGGCACCCTAGCGCAGTAGGTTAATCCTCCGCCTGTGGCATCGGCATCCCATATGGGCGCCGGTTCTAGTCCCGGTTGCTCCACTTCCAATCCAGCTCTCTGCTATGGCCTTGGACAGCAGTAGAAAATGGCTCAGGTCCTTGGGTCCCTGTACCCACATGAGAGACTGGGAAGAAGCTCCTGGCTCCTGGTTTCGGATTGGCGCAGTTCTGGCCATTGCAGCCATTTGGAGAGTGAACCAATGGAAGGAAGACCTTTCTCTCTGTCCCTCTCACTGCCTGTAACTCTACCTCTCATATAAAGTAAATAAAATCTTTAAAAAAAATCTGATGTATAATTGAGTGAAAAAGGAGCACAAAATTATATGCATATGAAGTACCAAAGAGAAAGGACAGGACAAATGTTAACACTAAGAGAAAAAAAAATGAAATGTACAGTCAAAAGATTAATTAAGCATGCTTATCGTTGAATATTAGTATTACCAGTGATTTTATTTTCCTTTATTTCCACTAATTATCAGCCAATCGAGATAATACACAAATTAAAGTGTGAGGAAGGCTAGACTTTCCTGGACAGAATGTTCATCCTCTCTTCAGCCCACTGCTTCCCTTTCTACCTACTGAACACCCCCCACCCCCTTTTTTTTTTGTTTAAGCTCATCCATTTGAAATCCTTTCTCCAGACTCTGGGCAGAAAGACACCATTTGATGTAGTCATACATAGTAAGACTGGAAGTAAAGACTAAGCTAATATTTCTCTAAGATGTATTCCTATTGAATGAACAGACCATACAAAACTAAGAGAGTTAAGTTTTAAAAGAAGAAATATATAATGGAAAGATTTCACATCAAATCACCAGAGGTGGAATTTAGCCAATGAAACTTATTAATTTTAATAAACTATTATATATGAATATGGCCTAATATAAGTAATAAACATATTGAATAACAAGATTAATGAACATATGACATATGACAGAATCACAGTTATGTAAAGATGTAACCTAATTAGTTCATATTCTAGTAAATACTCTAACTGCCTTCCATCTCTAAAACTAAAATGTCAGTTTTAGAGATGGGAAAATTGAGGTAGACACATGATGTTATGTAGCACACCTTAGGTGTAGACAAATAGAGCAGGTTATGACCGAGTTAGTCAGGTTCTGAAACTTACATCTACAATCTCCATTTCTTCATGACAGAAGTGACATTCCTATGCACTTAAAATCTAATAAAAATCTACTCTTACTCTCTCAAACAGAAAAGATCAGCAGATGGAAAAACATTTTTTCATTATCTAATAATTGCTTAGCACATAGCAGGGCATTTTAGGGATATAAAGTAAAGACGGTGGTTCAATGGGAGGAGCTTGATCCAGAGTTAGACTCCAGCTGAAGCACCCATTTCTCATGCTGGAGGACCTGAGTTTGAGTCGTGGCTCCAGCTCCCATTTCAGCTTCCTGCTAATACAGACCCTGGGATGCAACAGTATTAGTTCAGATAACTAGATTCCTGTTACTCATGTAGCCACCTGGGTTGAATTCCCAGCTGCCTGCTTTGGCATGCGCTCAGCCCTGCTCAGTGAAGGCATTTGGGGAATGAACTAAAGGATGAGAGCAATCTATTTCTCCATCTCTGTATCTATTTTTTCTGTTAAAAAAATAAAAAGGTAGTGGTTCAGGGCTTTGGAATCAGAAGAGCTAACCTCAAATTCCTGTTTTACCCTGTTCAGTTATGAAATTGAACAAGGTGGTTAGTTTTTTTATTATTTATTTGTTTTTCTGCAACAGGCATAAAATCCATCAAAGAATTTTATTAGAAATTACAGAGAAAATAATCATAAAATATTATTTAACATAATGATGGCATATATTAAAATTCAGATTATATATATATACTTTTATATATACATATGCACATATATTCTTCTAAAACATAAATGTGATATTGACTTCCTTGCAACCTTAATATGCTTAGAATAATATTCAATATGCTAAAAAAATCACTTTTTGATCAAGAAAAAACAATCTCCTAATCTACAACAAACGCAATAGAGTGCATTTGAAATTAGAAAACAAAATATAATAACCTTTCTAGCTTTGCTTAATCAAAATCATGAAACATAACTTGTTTCCACTTAGAGAAATGAAATTCTCCTTATACTTACTCAATATTAATATCTATGTACAGAGTTAATTTCTCTTAGCCACCTTCCTCAAAAAGCATTTTCATTTGAGGCTCTTTTTCATTTTCTTCTCAATGTCAGAGTCCCATTGGTGCAATACTGACTTGGAGCACAGAGTGATTGCCTGGCGAGTGGTGAAAACCCCCACTGGAGTCTGCAGGACGAATTGGAAAAGAATTGAATGAATACGCTGTAGTAATTCATCAGCTCCCTGGGGGGGGGGGGGAGGGGAGATGACCCAATACAGCATGTTCATTTGCAGTTTCTATGATTTCTAAACAAAAACAAAGCATCGGCTCAGCTGAAATGGGAGAAATACTGTTTTCTGAGAAATGTTTTCATGTGTTTCTGCCCTGCATCGTCACTCTTTGGTGACCTTGCCCATAATTTCAGAAGCACAGTTAACAGGCTTCCCTTTCTTACTGGTGAAGTACTTGAGAATATCCTGGAGGAAGGAACTGGTGGAGAAAAGTTGTTTTCAGCTTTCTCTATTCAAGTAAGAGACGCCTGGAGTGATGGACTCTGTCTTCTAATGGGGCGAGGTGCACTGTCAGATCATCTCCTTTCACTTGGGATAAGAGTCATAGCACAATGATAATGAAAAAGATTGGAGTCAAGAGGTGCCAATGGGTGGGAGGACATTGGCTTAGGAGTATCTTTGAGTTTCATAAAAATGATAAAAGATAATGTCTACAGAGGCTGTTAGGGATCTTCTAGCCTTCAATTTTTCAACTCAGAAAGCTGAAGTTCCAGAGAGGCTTCTTGACCTCTGAGCTCATTCTTCAGGATCCAGCCCAAACTTCTCCTCCTTTTGGAAGCCACTCCTGCCCTCTTGTTAATGGAGATCACCATCACTTTCTGTGGCCCACCACTGGGATTAGTGCATATTTTTAATATTACCATTTGGAGTAGGCATTTCTCTTCTCAATTCCTTTAGGCTGGTGGTATTTACCTAGGTGAGGCTTAGAGCTTTCTACAGGTTCTGTGGATGCCTTTTTTTGGGGGAAGAGGGAGTGATCTGCAAATCCTGGAAAATGTAAACAGAACTGTATGCATGTATGTACAAGCATTTGTCACCTATTCTGTTTTCTTGGATAGAAATTGATAGTTTCAATACATGCCTGAAGAAATGTATGATTCATGAAGCCTGAATGATCCACTGCATTGATTATTAATCCCTTGAAAACAGCTGTGTCCATGCCCTGTTTATTTTCTCCTGTCTTATCTCAGTATTTGTTTTAGAGCAAGCTCTCTAGGTTTTGCCTAGTGAACCAATTAAAATGTGCCCTTTCGTTAATTGATTAGTTGGTGACAAAATTTGTGCTATAACATAAGTTTTAATGAACACTTTTTTATGTAGGTCATTTTCCCTTAAACCATTATCCGATCAAAACTGAAATTTGCAAATGCATTCCTATCTTCCTTGTCTTTTTAGTTCATGACACAGGGGATCTTATCTGTATTCTTAACACACATTGCTGTAATATTTAAGAAGGAATCTTGGATTTCAGGCAGAAAATAAAATATCAAAACAGCAACACAATCAGTTCCAGCTCTGGCTTTTTCTAAATAAATTCTGTATTTTCAGTATCTTCACTTCAATTTCATTTCAAGGACTGCTTTAATTAACATTGATTTGAAAAAGTCAATTGACATAAACACAAAAGTAACACATTCAAGCTTAAGGTCTTACTAGAAAACAAAATGTCTTAAGGTTTTACTCATTCCAAAATTTATTATCAGTGAAACCTTGCTACTGTTATTGCATACAAATATATCGTCTTCCATCCTGTTCTTCATGTTTGGTTTTAATATTTTTAATTTTTCTGTAGCTTTTTATTTATGAGAAAATTTCAAAGTCTTAGCCATAAAGTTACAATGATATCATAATAATTAAAAGTCTTTATATTATATTTTAAAGAAAACTTCTTATATTTAAAAATATTTTCATAAGTATTTGTTCCTTACTACTGACACCTAGAAACACTATCTCTGTGTCATAAGGATGTGTTTTTTTGTAAGTTTTGAAAGGATCACTACTCAGGCTTTTTCAGAAAAATCCATCAATCCTTGATAAAAGATTATAAATCATTTGTCAGTCATGACTATTAAACTGTTTAGAATAGAATATGTGCCTAGAAAAACCTTATATTGCTGTTGACTATAGAGTAATTTAACATATAAAATCTATTGAAAAGTTATACTCATTCCTTTGTACTATTTTCAGTAATTTTATTTTTTCAACAATTTTATGCCAGATAAATCTAAAAATTAAAAATGTCATGAAACTTTATTTCATTTTATTTTGTAAAAGAAAAAAAAAACAGAGATCCTAAAACAAGCAAACAAAATAACAAATCCTTTGTAACAGAGAACTCAGGAAGCCTAATTTAGAAGCTATTTCATAGACAAGTGTTATGAAACTATTGTCCCCTACTGCAGTTTTAATATCACAAGTGAACTTGATATTTTCCTAAGACTATAGGAGAAATTTACATCAATCCTTTTTTAGAAGCAAAAATCAAATGGTAGCAGGACGGTTCTGGTTGTGAACTGGGATCTCTCAGATGCCCACAGCAGTGAGATTTGCTTCACACGCATGAAGAAGAAAGTACTTCCTTCTAGGGCTGGACAATGTTCAACAAAGACATACTTGTTGACAAAGCCAAGAAATCTCCCTTTTTGTCTAGACTCTGGGGATGAATAGTAATAGAATGGGGAGGAACTGTTGAACCTTAGGAAGAGCATGTTGCTGCCTCTTCGAGGAATAACAAAGGAAGCATGCCTTATCTGGACACGGATTAGGAAACTCAGAGTTAAGATGATCTGCAGGCTATTCCCACTGCTGTGGAGGGCCAACTTGATTGGAGGAGACCAAACCGTATTATCTCCAAACCCATGAGCCAGAAAACAAAAGTCTAAATATTAGTTAAGTTGATACTGCAGCCAGGGTAGAAGAAATAGTTCTGCGTCTTCACAATGATCCGGATTTCCTCTGAAACTGTTCTTAAAGCTCCATCTATACATGATGCTTAGCAAAACCATTCAAGAAAATGTCCATTTTGCTTTGTGTTACAACTGATTCTCAATTAACCAAGGGAAATCCATCCTTGAGAAATATCAGCTGTGGCACTGGGGTCCGTTTGTCTCATCCAAGCCTTTCATTATAGCATGGATATGGATGTTTAGTGGAGAGCCTATGATTTTTGAAGTCCTGGTTACATTGGGATCGTTGTCTTGAAGAAAGACCTAAATTCACAGCATGCTTTTAAAAAGTAGCAGCTGCAACAACACTAATGGTACTTGTATAGCAATAAGACTACTACCCATCAAGCTTCTATGACATTGGTACTCATGGTAGCTACTTTATCTTTTTTTTTGACAGGTGGAGTTAGACAGTGTGAGAGAGAGAGAGAGAGAGAGAGAGAGACAGAGAGAGAGAGACAGAGAGACAGAGAGAAAGGTCTTCCTTCTGAGACCAGGATAAGTACCTGGCTCCTGCCTTCGGATCAGCGCAGTGCGCCGGCCGCAGCGCGCTGGTCGCGGTGACCATTGGAGGGTGAACCAACGGCAAAGGAAGACCTTTCTCTCTGTCTCTCTCTCTCTCACTGTCCACTCTGCCTATCAAAAAAATAAATAAAAAAAATTAATTAATTAATTAAAAAAAAAGAAAGGTCTTCCTTCTGTTGGTCCACCCCCCCAAATGGCACCCCAGGCATGCTGTGCCAATCCGAAGCCAGGAGCCAGGTGCTTCCTCCTGGTCTCCCATGTGGGTGCAGGGCCCAAGCACTTGGGCCATCCTCCATTGCCTTCCCAGGCCACAGCAGAGAGCTGGGCTGGAAGAGGAGCAACCGGGACAGGACCAGCACCACAACTGGGACTAGAAACCGGGGTGCCGGCGCCGCAGGTGAAGGATTAGCCTAGTGAGCCGCGGCGCCGGCCACTACTTTATCTTGAAAGTAATATTATGTGTATGGGCACTGTGGCATAATGCATTAAACCTCCACCTGCAGTGCAGGCATCCCATAGGGGTGCCAGTTTGAGTCCAGGCTGCTCCACTTCTGACCCGGCTTACTGCTGGTGGCCTGGGAAAGCAGTGGAGGATGGCCCAAGAGCTTCGACCCCTGAACCACTTGGGAGACCTAGAAGATGCTCCTGGCTCCTGGCTTTGGGTCAGCCCAGCTCTAGCCCTTGAGGCCATTTTGGGAGTAAACCAATGGATGGAAGACTTCTCTCTGTGTCTCTTCCTCTCTGTGTCTGTTAAATCTCTCAAACAAATACATAAATATTTAAAAAAATCATATGTGATTAGTGTTTAAAACAATTTTAAAAATTATGTATTTATTTGAGATACAGAGTTACAGACACAGAGAGGAAGAGACAGACAGAGAGAGATCTTTCGTCAGTTGGTTCACTTACTAGATGATGGTGACGGCCAGGCTGAATTCAGTAGCCTTAGTTTCATCTGGGTTCCCCACATGGGTGTCAGGGGCCCAAAAATTTGGGCCATCTTCAGTTGCTTTTCCCAGGCCATTAACAGGGAGCTGGATTGGAAGCGAAGCTGTCGTGAACAGTATCTGGTGACCAGATGGGATGCCAGCAGCGCAGGCTGCAGCATTACCTGCTAAGCCACAATGTTGGCCCCTAAAACTTAATCTCACAGCTGAGTTTCAGGGATGTGAAGTAGTTTTCATGGTCATAGACTCAGTAATTTGATACTGAGTATATCAGATACCAAAGTAAATTTTATTTTAATAACAATTTATTTCCTCTTCATTACCTTATAGAGGCTTTTATCATAAAATTTATTAAATGGGCATCAATTTTAAGGTTGATAATTATAAATAATGTTAATAATAATAATTAAAACAATTTTATAGCCTTATATATTCCAAATTCTTTGCTATACCCTTTTCCTTCATTATTTTAATCAATTTCATGAACCCCTAGTAAGGCTGTTTTTATTATCCAACTTCTCAATATAAGGGAATGACAGCACGGACACTGCTAAATGACTTACCATGGTCCACACAGTTGGTAAATTGTGAACCCAGAAATTCAGTACAGCTCGTCTAACTTTTGCCTCAATGATATATATTAACCCTCCAAAATACACTGTATCATTCTCTCACTGTGAGCTTT